TTACAGTGGAGTTTCAACCTTGGATCTATAGCTGCGCCAGACAAAAATGTTTAACAATTAGCTTTGGAGGCATCAACTTGGCTTTACCTTGATACAGCCTTTGGAAAGCTCCTCCTCGTGAGCAGTGCAGTGACTGTACAGTGCTGAGGGCTCACTCGTCCTCATGGAAAGGCGCTCAACTTCTCTCACGCAAGCGATGGATTTTCTTTGGCACCGCCGAGCTGTGTCCCCGTTCCCTCGTGCTTGCCAAAAAAAAAGGGAATTCAGCCAGCGGAGTGCATTCCACGCTGCCCCCCATCTGCACTGGCGGCGTTAGGTGACCAAGCCGTGGCTCTGGGTGATGAGCGGGTACGTGCCGAGGCTCCAGGTTGCACCTGAACAGAGATGAGGGCGCTATAGCGAGAAGGAGGGGCTCGGCGCGCTGACGGCGCCGCAGCCGCCGCCATTAGCAGCGCCGCAGACTACAGCTCCCGGCAGCACCCTGGGCCGCCGCTTCCCCCCGTGCTAAGATGGCGGCCGCCGAGCGGCGCGTGGCGGTGAGCGCGCCGCCGGGATACACGGGTGAGGAGCGGCGGGGGAGAGGGGGGATAAAAGTCGCGGCGGCGGGGTGTTTAACCTGTTTGTCGCCCGCAGCCCTGGCTGTGAAGTTCGGTGCGCGGCAGCGCTCGCCGCACTGTCTCTTGGTGAAGGAGCACCGGCTGCGGGAAGGGCCCGCAGACACGCATCCGCCGCAGCGCACCCTGTTCGTCCTCAACGTCCCCCCGTACTGCAGCCCGGTGAGCGGGGTGGGGGGGCTGCGAGGGGCTCGACTGGGAGCCGCCAGCGCGGGGATTGGTGCGCTGGGAAGGCCTGGAGGGGAATCATCCCTGTTGTTCTCTGCCGGTTGTCCCCCTGCGTGAAGGACGCGCTGTCCCGTCTGTTCTCTTGCTGTGGGGCCGTGCAGTCTGTGGACCTCCGTGACAAACCGGGACCGGGAGAGAAGGCAGAAAAACGCACGTCCAAGTTCTTCACCAACAGAACTGCAACGGTAAGGGGCCAGGGGGGTAGTGGTGCTTTAGTGATCAGAATGGGAAGAAATCCCAAGTACTGAGTGGTGGTGGTGAGTGGAGCGTGAGTTATGGGAAAACTGCTTGAGGGGGGTGTATAGAGTCCTAAGTTGGAAGAGACTTAAAAGCACCCAGTCCAACTCCCCTGCAGTGAACGGGGACACCTATGGGTAGATCAGGGTGCTCAGAGCCCCTCCAGCCTGACCTTGGGATGAGGAACCGCCACCTCTCTGGGCAGCCTGTGCCACTGCCTCACCACCCTGAGTGTAAAATGCTTTCTTCTTACACCCAATCTAAATCTCCTCTCTTGAGTATGAAATCATTTCTCCTTGTCCTACCCCAACTGACTCTGAGACTAGAGTCTATCCCCTTTCCTCTGTCCCCCTTTGGATACTGGAAGACTGCTATTGGGTCTCACCAACATGGTAGTAGGACTTAAATTTGTTACTTTTTTTTTTTTTTTTCTTTTTTTTTTGTCATCTTACTGGAACCTGTGATTTGATCTCTGTATGTGTCTCCAACTCCCACAGTATATCTGACCATCCTGGGGGTGTTGTCTTCTTTTAGGGATTTCGAGTTGCATATGTGGTGTTCAAGACACCGGCTGGTGTCCAGGCAGCCAAGGCACTATCACAGAAAGGTCCCTTGTTGATATCAACAGAGAGTCACCCTGTGAAAACTGGCATTAGCAGTAAGTAAGCAACAGCTGCGTTCCTGTTAACCAGAGCAGGGGAAACATTTCCTCACTGAATCCTTCCTGACACATTCCAAGTTGTTCACCATTTTGTATTAAGCCTGGACTGGGAAGATGTGCAGTATTTTATTGTTCTGTTTTTCTTATTGTATCTTAGAATCATAGAATAATTAAAGTTGGAAGAGATCGCTAATATCATTGCATCCAACCATCAACCCATCACCACTATACCTGCTAAACACATCATCTTGTTGATAGCTTATTCTATTGGATGTTGTAGGCCCTGGCTGAGTGACCCTGCAGGAAGACAAGGGCTCTTAGTACATTGGAAGGGCAGTTTTTCCCCACATCTCTTCAATATCATGTAGGTTCAGAGAGACTGACTGTGTTTTGCTTTGAAAACTGAAGCCAGGCACCACGTGGCTGTCAAGGTGTCAACACTTTGCATGTTACCATTGGTGGAAACGCAAAATTGAATGTTGCATTTCTTGGGTTTCAGGATAGTCTGCTTCTCCTTGAAAAGTTGCACGCTCTTCCCATTACTTAATGCTTTTCTTCTGGATGCCAAATCGTGCATAAGCTAAGGTAGTGGGGAGGCTGAATGGAAGTGGGATCCAAGGGTGTTCTTTCCCACAGCAGTTCTCTCTGGAGCTGCTGAAAGACATTACACCAAAATTTGCTTCTAGAGGAGGCTACAATTGACTTCTGCTCTCTGTTTCAGAGTGGATTGCCAGATACGCAGACTCGGTAGTGGATCGAGAAGAACTGAAGGCTGAGGTGGATGCCTACATGCAAGACTATGACAAAAGGATAGCAGAGGTGAGGCCAGGCTGGGGAGGGAACCCAGCTAAGCAGTTTGTTTGTGGAGAGAAAGGCAGAGGGAAAGGATCTCTCAGTGCCCAGGTCCTAATGGAAGTGGCAGAGGGGAAGCACTGGCTGGCAGGATTGCTGGTTTGGTTCATTACAACTGGCCCATCCATCCAGGGCTCCCAGTAGGCACCCACAAATGAAACAGGTCCTGTCTGGCATGCAGTGTTGTGACTTGAGTGCCTGGTCCCATGCCTTCCTTCAAATCTTGTACTAGGAGCTGTAACCGTGTGTCGGAGTGGGGCCTTGGAGGAGCCCTGCATCAGGCTGGCTGACAGCCCAGCTGTACTGAGCTGCCTCACCTTTCTGTCTCTGTAGGAAGAAGCCAAAGCAGCCAAGGAGGAGGGCTTACCAGATGAGGAGGGCTGGGTGAAGGTAACACGGAAGGGCCGCAAGCCTGGCCTGCCCCGGACAGAGGCTGCCAACCTGCGGGTGCTGGAGAGGGAGAAGCGGAAAAAGGCCCGCAAAGAGCTGCTCAACTTCTATGCTTGGCAGCATCGTGAGACCAAGAGAGAGCGTGAGTGTCTGAATTGCCTTCTACCCTTCTCTGAATCATGCTGTAGCCCAAAGAACATCTTTTTTTTCTTTCAGTGGAGCTGCATCCAGCTGCAGTTGAACAGCTGGCTGGGAGGCTGGGCAAATGGTCTAGCCAGTTCCTGGGGATCCCTTGCCGCTACCTGGCCTAGCAAAGGCTGTTGGAATATTCTTTGGGAGAGTGGGCAAATGGTACCGTTTGTGGTACCATTGTTTTTGTGCTACAGATGTTTTTGTCAGTCTGCACAGAGGCAGCCACGGGAAGGGAGAACTAGTGTGTTCCTTCCCCAAGAGGGAGCTGCAGCACTGCAAAGCACCTGGAGCCTCAGCTCTGCACTTAGCCCTGACGCAAAAGGACCTGTTCTGAGCAATGTGTGCTTGCAGCTGTCTGAACTGAACATCTCCCAGTGAGCAGAAGTGAAGCTCCATAGGAAGAGGGAGATCTGCTGCTCCCCTGTGACCTGTTACCTTTCTTTTTTTGTGTGTTTCAGATATTGCCCAGTTGAGGAAGAAATTTGAGGAGGACAAGCAGAGAATTGCACTGATGCGAGCCCAGCGCAAGTTTAGGCCATACTGAGCTGAGCTGTTTCTTCTGATGCCTGTGCTGGAGAGGGCAGGAGAGATGCTTACAGACTCACGTGCCATAGGGTCTCGAGGAACTGAGGCAATTTCATATCCCTGCCATTGGATCTCATGTGGGAGCATTGGCTTCAGTTGCACTGCATCTTCCTGCTCTCATGGCTGTGCCTGCACTGACATCATCCAGTACCATTTCCCTATGTGCATGGGCCAAGGGGGCTGAGGCGTGTCTTCTGACAGCCTGTATCTCTGTGCCAACCAAGGCCCTCCTGTAGTTTGGTAAGAGACAGTATTTGCCCAACACAGCCTCTGCAGGGGCAGGGAATGGCTGAAGAATTGTAAATAAACTGGTGCTGCTCCTCAAAGGCAGGAATGCCCCTTTCTCCATTGCTGTGTTGTGGGGAACAGTGTCTTCTCTATTGGACTAGGTTGGTGATAAAAGCCATGGCTTATGTGCCAGTGCCAGGTCCTTTAGGTGTTTATCTGGGGGCGATTAAGAATGGGAGAGAAAGCCTGGAAACAAACAACTGGAAAGTTCCCAGACCTGCTGTCACTGGGGGAGATCAGTGGTTTGGTACAGAGCCCTACTTTTTCTCTTGGTGCTTCCCTCCCAGGCAGCTCTATCGCAGCTGGGTGCTGAGATGCCCTTCCAGCTGTATTTGGATCTCTGCAGCTAGGTGTAGCCTGAGCTACAGTGGGAACCACTGCCATTCAGCACTGTCACTAGACAAAGTGAGAGGACAGCCTAGCTTCGGAGGGATAAACCAGACTCCAGGGTGTTTCCACAAAATCTGCTGCCAGCCCACAGGAGGGCAGGTAAGGATGGCAACATGCACACCCAGTTGTTGGGCAGTGCTTTTGCTGCTGATCACATAACTTGCAACTTGATGCTAGTAGCCTGTGACAACTGTTGTGATGTGAAAGAAGGCACCTCTAGCATGCAACATTTATTTTACTGCCCGCAGCCTCAGTAAGGGAGTGACCATGAGCATATGGAGGAAATGCTGATAAATCCGACACAGTTAAGCTAAAGTACATTCACTGTCCTCTAGAAAATCCACTGTATATTCAGCTTCCATTGCATGAGGAGATTGCCAGGCCTGCTTGCTTCATATGGCTTTTTGCATCCATTTAAGTAGGAGGTAGATGGATACTTAACATGAAATATCCAAAGCAGAATGCATGAAAAAATCACTGCTTCATAAGATTGGCACTTGAGCTGCTTGGGTGAGCATCCTGCAAGAAAGGTTCACTCTTCTGTAAAGTCAAAGACGACAGTGTTAACAGTGGAAGATCAATCTTTATTTAGAAGGACAGAAATCACCTCTGCCAACTTTTCCATTACTAATAGTTCTCACAGCTGCTTCAGCTAGAGGATTAATGACTCATTTCCCAGCAGTTCATTGAAATGGCCTTCTGTACCCAGGTGAGCTCTCATTTAAGCTGATTATTAAAAAAAGCAGCAGCCCTCACAGTAGAAGAGAGGTTGAGGCTGCCTGAGCTCAGGCAATCATGGAAATAAGCAGAGAAGCAGAACTCTTTCCTGTTTTTTTTTCAACTGGCTTAGCCCTGGGAGGAGACTTGTCACTTCATGCTGAGAGAGGAGGAAAGAATGAGCTACCTCTCTCTTGCACTGCTACAGCTGCTGGTGCTGCTGCTCCCTGAGGAGCCTCTGCCTGTATTCCTGATCCATTTTAGGATACAGAAGTTAGGAAGAAGAAAGGGGAAAGCTACTGTGTATCTAACTTTGCAGATCTGCATTCACCCCTTCAGGGAGCTCAGCTTAGGAATAAGCAGCATGAAACCGACATTGGATGTGAGGTAGGAATGGTGACAATTTCTCCAGAGTCAGATTTTTAGCTACTTCTTGTCCTGGACTGCTGTTGCAGTGACTGCTTAGAGCCTTGCTCTGCTGTTCTGCGCTGTCAGGAAGTTGCTGATGATCCCAGACACCACCTCGGGTTCGTTCAGGTGCACAAAATGACTCCCAGGCACCTCTACTAGCTGGATGTCCTAGAGGGAGAAGACAAGTAGAAATAAAGCAGGAAAGTGTTCCTAAAGTGTTCCTTCAGGCAAGCTGTGCTCGCTGTGTCCTACCCACTGGGAAGGAAGCCAAAGGAAACAATGCAAAAATGGTGTCTCAAAGAAAGGTTGGATTTTACATTTCTGTAGCTAACTGCAGGTACACCAGCCCCTGACAAACCCATCACATAAAGATGACAGTCCAACAGGGAGGCAGGACAGGGGTGGGAGGAACTGGGAAGAGAGCTATATGTGGAAGGCAGTACTGACTAGGATTTTGGCAGTAAGGGCAAAGTTGGCCTTCCATCCCCTCACATGAGGACTGGGCTGTTTAGGACAAATCCCGTGCTGAGGATATTCTCTAAGGTAAGTTATTTCCCAGCTGCTTTCAGGTTGGTGTCTCGTGAAGTGGATGGAGAAGTAAAGATGGAGATCGCTCTCACCTCTTTGAGGGTATGCTCAAATGCCTCCCGTAAGGATTTCACAAACTGATTTCTGCTCTCTAGCTTATGTGGTACTAAGAGTCCATCTTGTGCTCTGAAAAGAAAGAGCAAGGCTCAGTAAAGCACACAGTGTACCTCTGTCTTTGTGGCTGTCTGGGCAGAAGCAGTGTCCCCAGGACAGACTGGGATGGCAGACCCAGCTGCTCTGCAGGCTGCCTGTAAGCAGCATGGTTACAGGTTTGTGCATGGTAGTCAGAGGAGTAAGGCATGGCTTGGCTAAGCAGCTGTTGTCTATCAAGCTATCTGTTTAATACTTGGAGTACTGCCTAGTAGTATCACAGGGAGACAGGTTAAATATTATCCCCCCAGGACTGGCTTCTTAACTTGTCTCAGTATATAATTCCCTGCCCCTACCCTATCTTCTGCTCTTGGCTTTATTCCTTCCAGCCAGCTTCTGCATCTCACCTCTGTCCCTTTCCCTCCTCCACACTGCTGCTTGAACACTATAATCACAGTTCCTGCCCTACTTGGAGCAGGAGGCACCAGGGCAGTTCCCCTGAAGAAGCCAGTGTTAGATTCCCTGTAGAATTAAGATTGTACTGCAGGTAACTAGATGAAGGGATGTCTGAGGCTTGAGGGGATGTGTTCTGTATGGCCTAGAGGACCTGCCCTCACCATGATGTTCCATTTTTTTCCTGCTCCAGTCAAATAGGAAAAGTCTTAAACACAAAGAAAAATGCTCTCATGATTTGAATAGCCTAGAGAAGCCAAAACTGAATCTCGTTTCTCAGCTCCCAGCACCTCCTTATTTCCCCTGGACAGTGTGGGCCAACATCACCAGAACCTTGCACACCTTGCCCTCTAAGGAGACAGCAAAAAAAGCAGGAGGACAAACACCCAGACCAGACAGATGGCTTGTGGGGCTCCAGGTAAGACATCAGCTGCCTTCCCAGCATCTCGTCCCTGCCCTGGGGCTGGTTCAGGCTCCAGAACCAGCTGAAACAGGTGAACGCTGCAGTGGCTTTACCGTTTGTACAGCAAGAGGAGTAGAGGGCAGATGGGTTGTTGCCACTGAAGGAAGAGAGTCAGACCACAAGGGAAATATGCAGGAATGATGATGGAAAGGCTCGTGTGTCTGCCAGGATGTTCCCTTTGCTCAAAGCCAGGGTGAACAGATGGGGAAGAGCCCTTCTAGCCATCACCGCTTCACACAGGGTGGCAGTGAAGGCTGGTTTTGCTTGTGCCTCACTCACACTATGATGAGAACACGGTCCTTGATCTTCTGCAGGAGCTTCACACACTGTTCCACAGTGAGGTATTCTCGACTCTGCTGCAGGTGCAAAAACAGGGAGAGCAACAAAAGTCAGGAACAGCAGCTGAGGATAGAGGGTGTCCCCAAGCCCTGTGCAGGAGAGACTCAGGCCCCACAGCCGCTGTGCTGAGACAGGACAGGCTGCCAGGCTGCACACAAGAGCGCCTGGCTCTGCAACTGCTCCTTCTATCCAGATGTGTTTCAGGGCTGCCAACAGCACTGCCTGCTGGGTTGCAGCACATATGGGAATGATCTCACAGCAAAGAAAAAGCTTTAAAAAGTCCTTTTAGTAAAAAGGAGATAGTACAATACTCTGGTGTTCATAGCTTGGCAGTAGCACAGGTAGAGGAGGCCCTTACACAATAGTGGCACAATGCTATCAACATATCAGATGTAAAGACTTTGTTCCAGTCCCTCCCCCCTCCCTGTAAGGGTGACCTGACAAAGAAGCTGACCTAAAACATCCATCCATCTGCTGCCTTAAGAGTTACAACAGCAGGAAAATGTGGCCAGGAGGCCCTGGGGCTCAGGAACTGCTAAAAAATTCAGTAACATTTTCCAGTGACTCTAAGCTGAGTCAGTTAATGATCAAGTGCAGGCTCTTTTAAAAGTAGCATTTAAAAGAGGTGTGGGAATTAGGAAAGCAGTAAGTAAATGGTTGGGTGGAGGCAGAGCCTGGGCTCAGTTAGTGGGCCTCCACTACCTCTGTTTTCTGTAAGCTCAGGGCTCAGAAGCAGCAGGGGGCAAGTCAGAACAGCAATGCTCACCGTACGGACTCTCATGTCTCTGTTATACACCAGCCCTGCAAGGAAAACAAGAGCAGGTTTTCATGTCTCAAAGAAACAGGAGTTGCTCTGCCCCTCACCTCTGGGGTCTGCCTAAGACTTTTTGAGGTATGAGTAGGATTAACTCAAATATCTCATTTTTATTATTTTTTTTCTTCCTTTACCCATTCTAGGACTCAAGCTTCAATGTCAGCTGCTGGGAAATGAGAGCTTTGCCTCCAGATTTAATTGATCCCATTCAGGCTATGTAAATTCATAGCTTGGGCACCCTGGACCCTGTGGAAGACAATGGCTGTTGGCACTGCTCCCTTCCCACACCCGGTGTTGGGCCAGGCCTGACATGAGCCCCGTCTCCAAGCAGCCCCTTACCAGTGGGTGTCTCAGTTGCTCCTCGCTGCAGCAGGATTGCCCCACCCTCTGCTGTCAGATGTCTGTTTGCTTCTAAGAGCCTGGAGGAGACATGGCAGAGACATTGTGCTGCTGAAAACAGGAGGAAGCGAAGCGAAAATGGCATGACAAGGTGACAGCAAGCTCTCAGGCTGCTTCAGAGAAGAGAGGGAAGCTGACTGCAGAAGCAAAAAGTCTTGCTGAGATACCAGAAGAGAACTTGAATGGGCAGAACCGTGACAGTTTCCCGTTATGGTTCATGCAGCCACAAGTGCCCAAGGTGAGGATGCACAGCAAATGAAGAGACAGGGGGGAACCCACCTCTGCAATGCTGCTTTGGGGCTACGTGCTTTGGGAGCTTGCTGCTTTGCTTCTAGACTCAGTAATCTATCGATAGCCAGCCGCTTGGATTTCAGCCATGCCTCAGTGTCCTAAAACAAAGAGATGTGCAGCGCAGGAATAACCTCCCATTTCTGAGTCACTTTATGCTTTATCAAAGGGTAGAAGAGGGTATTTCACCCATCAGCATCTCTCAGAGCTAGTACCAGTTATAGACATGTTAAAAATGCCTACTTCTTGAGGAAAGAGAACAGCAATACATAAGAGGCAAGATAGGAGCAGAAAACTAAGCACTCTTGTATAGAAGTTATTAACCTTTCACTCTTGTGATCTCTTTTACCTCCTCCCACTTCACTTCTGAATTGAAGACAACTCTCTAAAAGAACAAGGTAAATCTGGGATCTTTTGCCTCTCTGACCACGGGCTTCTATCAAACCCCCCAGCACCTGGTAGTGATAATGGCAGTCTGGGAATGTAGCTTTATGTCCAGCCAGGAGCAGAAACAATCTGCCAGCCTTGCCTTCAGGTCACCAACAAGCTGTTGGCAAGTAAACAGCCTTGGCAGGTAGTTAGCTGCTTGGACAGAGATTCCAGTTCCTTTTGCACATGGGCATGGCATAGACAAGTGAATTTCAGTGCTACAGGACTGCAGGATGCTCCCCAAGGGCCATGCTAAGCAGGGTCTCACTTCATGCAACAAGGAGCAGATCTGTGCTTGCCAAAGAAGTTTCAAGAATTGTGTGACCTGCCAGGAACTGGGCATATCAGTGTTCTTTTTGAACAGATGAGGGGAAGACAAAGACACTTCTTCATATTTTAAAAAAGAGAGGGGAAGGACACATGAAGTCTAACCTCTGGAGCTAGTAGAAAGCCAAGATTTTCCAGCAAGATCAGCTTGTCCACCATCTCAGGATAAATGAAAGCAAACTGAAGAAAGATGAAACATTATGAGACAAAGAGAAAAGCTGCACATTGAGTACTGTTTTACACCTTGCTGTACTGGAGGTGGGGTTAGAAAAGTGCCTCTCCTTCCCCAGAATCCAAGACCCGCATAATCTGTCTCTTCATTCCTTTCTCATTTGTTGTTCCAGCTGCAAAAGTCACACACCCTACGAAGAAAGTATGCTTTACTCACCATTCCTGCCACAGACCCACCTGTAAAGAAAAGGAGGGTGCTCAGTTATGCCCAGGCCACCTCTTGGTAACAGGAGCACCTTTTCCCCAAAGCAGGAGCTGTCTTAGAAGCACAAATGCATGTTTGTAACAAGGGATAACACCCAAGCTACACAGTAAAGCTCTCTTCGCAGAGAGGATGCAAGCAGAGAGCAGGACTAGTAAGCTGGACTCTGTGTCCTGCCCCATCTCTCTCTCAGGCAGCAAAGACAAAGGAAGAGTTATCAGTTAAAACACTGTGGTGTGCAGGTACTGTGAGCTGTGTCCAGAGAAGCCCTGGGCAAGAAAGGCAAGGCCATAAAGCCTGGGGAGAGCAGGAAAGCCTGCTGTGAATATTCCTGCCTTAGACCATCGCTCTTTGTTCATCACGGTTCCCTCCTGGGGGCTCAGGAAATGCCCAGAGGGACAGTCAGTGCCCTTTGTACTACAGTGTTGTGAAAACAGAAGCATTTAAAGCAAGGATGTAGATTTTTGAATCACTCAAGCAAGAACTTGGTACTTGACACAATATAATAAATATTCCAACCCAGCTTCTAGCAGCATGCTTTGTAAATTAATTATCTACTCATATTTCCGTGAATCTCACAGCTTACAAGGAAGAGAGCCACTTACCCATACTGTGACCCATCAGGGTGAACCGTCTCCACCGCAATGCTAAGTGGCAACAGACAAAAACAGACAGTGATGCATTAGAAACCAGAGCTGCGGCATCTTGCTGCTTCCCCACTAAGGCAGGCCCCTTCTCCCAAGAGGGCTGCTGCAATGCTTAATTTGTTTCCTAATCCAGAAATGAGGTGGCTGAGTAGGCCCTTTTTAAAGAAAAAGAACATCCACCACCTCATTTCTTTGGTAGTTATCTCACACAGCTCTCAAGTACGCTCTGCACTGCAAACAAGCTACTGCAAATTCCCGTTTACTGCCAGACATGAGACTGGCAACTAAAAAAGGAGCCTCACTGTGCAGCACCCACTGAAAGGGGGAAACCTTGTAGGAGGGTGCTCCTACAAGGCGTGCAGCACGAGCTGCAACGACACGGCCAGCATTGCTGCCCTGGGGAATGTATCATTATCCCAAGTGAAAGCTCTTTGTACCAGGAAGTGTATCAGTTTCAGCTCTTCAGTCCATTTTTAGGGAGCTCTGGGAGACTTATAGGAAAATACTGCTTCATCAATGCTGCCATCTGAAACACACCATGCTGAAAGGCATATTTTACGCTCTGAAACACTGAAGAGCTACCACTGGCTCCCTCACAATCGGCATACAAATATGTAGTCAGACCAGATGCTACTAGAGCCCAACACACCTTGGCTTTCAGATTTCTTTGCACGGCCCTAAAGCAAGCACCAACCTGTGAATGGGGAGAGCCAGAAGACTCTCCAGTTAACATCTAACTCTGGTTGGAGGTTGCTGCCTGCTTAAGGAATGTCAGTCTGGGGGAGTTACTTAGTTGCACCCACCACTCAGCCACTACCACTGCTTTTCAGTACAGAAATATTCCCTTCCCAGGGTTTACTGTTTCAGTAAAAAACAAAAAAATCAAAAACCCACAGAGCAGGAGTCAGTTTAACAAAGCACCAGCTAAGGTTAGCCTGGAGAGAAGCAGAGGGTGCTCCCTCCCAGCACTTGATGCTGCTGACTTGTTCCAAAGAGCAGGAGTGAGACAGCACCCCCTACATAGTCATCTCGTCAGGGCCCTTTCAGGTACTCACCAGCTGCCACGCGGCGCACATCGCTCACATAATCTAGGAAATAGTAAGGGGAGCCTGCAGGCCGGTGAGATGACAAGCCATGGCCAGAAAAATCCATTGCCACGTACCGGCAATCTGAAAAGCAGAGAGAGTCAGACACACAGCCGTGCCACACAATAAGAACCATGCCAGGGAGACAGACCCACCTCTGGGGAGCAGTGGAATAAGCCTGTCAAAGGTGTTGGCGTTGTCCAGCCAGCCATGCAAGCACAGCACGGGGTGTCCCTCTGGGGGTCCCCAGGCCTTGGCTGCCACATGACCCCAGGGCACGGGGAACTTCACCTCCGAGAACATGCCCAAAATAAAGCACTCTCAAGCAATGTCCCCTGAGAGCCACGTGCTTAGAACACGTCCCAGGGAGCTTGTTAACAGCCTAGAGCTCTGAAAAGAGTAATACAGATCTTTAGTAACTCACTAGCTTTCTGTAGTCTTAATTAGCAGCTTGCTGATTTACAGCTCCCCATTCAACATCCCCAGCCACTACGTCTGCTTGCCTGTTTGGGGACTCCTCCTCCCAGCACGTACTAACGATGCTCCTAGGAAAAGAGGGAGTCTTTTCTTCCTGGGAATAAGGATGCTGCCTCCTGTACTAGATTACTGCCTCCTTCTCCTCCTTTAACCTGTGATTTCTCCTCTCCTGCATCTCCAACAGAGCATGTCACACAGCAGGTCTCCTGCTGCCACCCTCCCACGTGCTCCTCTCGGCCACAATGAGATGAGCCCACGACCCACCAGGCACCTGCTGGCACACACACCTGTCTCACTGCTGCCAATCTGCCTGTCAGTTGCTGAGCTTCATCAGCACATAGAATTGGTTGGGTTGGAAGGGAACTTTAACCCTAAGCTCCAAGTAAACCCCCTCCAGCACAGAAACCGGCCTCCAGGGCTCTTTCAGGGCTGTCCTGAACATCCCTCCATTACCCCTAACCCTTCTAGCTCGCCGAGACCCACAGGTAGCCTGAATCCCCCCCTCACACACTCAGCCCCACCTCTCACGCTGTGCCCCCTTCCCAGTCCCAGTCCCAGTCCCAGTCCCAGTCCCAGTCTCACCCGCTGCACCTGAGACCTCCCCCTCGCATCCTCCCTCGCTCCCACCGCTTAGGAGCCCCATTAAGCTCAGCGCGGGGCCACCTCCCCCAGCCCACGGGCTGGTCTCAGCACGGCGCCCCAGCCCCCCTCCTACCGCTCCGTCCGCTCGCACGGCGCAACCAGGCCGCACGACGGAGCCCGGAGGCGGCGGGGCGGGCACCGCGGCAGCACCTCCCCGCGGCCTGGCCGCTCCTTCCCTGCGCCTGCCCGAGGCGACCGCGGCGCTGCCTGGAGGGGCTGGGGCCGCCATTTTGGTGCTCCCTCACCGCCACCCTGCTGGGGCGCGCAGCTGGTGTGGGAGGTCTCTCTAAACGCATCACTGCCATCAGGTTCACAGCCCGTTAAGGGAGTAACGAGGGGTCTGAAGCTGTAATCCGCCTGAGGGGGTCCTGCTGCATCCTTGGCTGCCTCCTGAAGAGATGTTGCTGATGGTGGAAGCTGCTCGTATGGCAGTGTTATGGTGTTAGATGCCGTACGTGTGACCCAGGAGCATCATAGGGGCATCAAATAAGCTCTGTACTTCACGCCAGTGCTGGATTGTATCTCTTTTTGATGGAGGAAGTGTTCTGAGCTCTGACATCTGCTGTAACTGCTCTGCACTGGGGATGAGAGCCACTTACACACTGCTGACTGCCCTGCAGAGCTGAGCTGCGGGCAGGTGAACAGCAGACAGAACTGCGAGTAACTCCTTCATCTATGAAACTTGAGTCCTCTCAGCCATGGATGATGAGGGGCCTGGAGCACCTCCCATACGAGGAGGGGCTGAGAGCTCTGGGACTCTTCTGTCTGGGGAAGGGAAAAGACCGAGAGGGGATGGTGTCAGTGCTTATAAATACCCACTCCCAGCGCGGGAGCCAAATGGATGGGGCCAGGCTCTTTTCAGTTGTGTTCAGCAATAGACCGAGGGGCAGTGGGCACACACTGGAACACAGGAAGCTCCATACAAACATGAGGAAAAAATTATTTACCCTGAGAGTGATGGAGCACTGTAACAAACTGCCCAGGGAGGCTATAGAGTTTCACCCTCTGTTCAAGATACTCAAGACCCATCCAGATGTTGTCCTGTTTGTAGGAACCTCCTTTAGTGGGGAGTTGAACTTGTTGACTTCCAGAGGTCCTTTCCAGCCCCAACAATTCTGTGATTCTACACAGTTATCGTTTGCCCAAAAATGGGGTGGTGTATAGGCCAGGTTCAGGTTCATAGTTCTCTCAAAAAAAGAGAACAAGCTACAGTCAATCCCTGGTAATCCATGTGAGTGCTGCTTGGTGGTGCCCAGCATTCCCTCCATGTCAGAGCCTATAACCAGACCCAGCAACAGCTCAGCCCTGCACAGCCAGGAGCTCACTGTTCCCAGGTATGATGAGGGAGAGAACTGGAAGCAGAATAAAACTAATGGGTTGATAAGAACTGTTTACTAAAGAGAGAAGAGGAACATGGAAACAAATATACAACAATAACAATTTACATATATGCATATACGTATAGCTGCAATGCAGTTGCTCACCACCTGCCGACTGACACCCCTTAACAACACAACTGCCTGCCAGCCAGAGCCTGCCAACAATGCAAAGCCTCACCTCCTGCTGTTAGAACACTCAGCAACCCCCATGCAGCAGCTGCCCATCAGCCAATTCCCCACAACTTTACAGACTTCTGCATAACTTCACATGGCATAGAACAACCTTTTGCCAGTCTCCTGGCTCTGCCCTTTCCTCTGCTGCTACACTGTTGAGGCCAGGTCAAGCCTGGTCCCAGGCACACTGTCATCAGTCAGTTTTAATGTTCTTCTGTGTCATGGCTTGGGTTTGTGAGTATCTACATGACGTGCCTTTACAGCCATGTTCTCTGCCTTGGATACAACAACTTTCCACAGCGCAGTGGCCCGGATGGATTTGCCTCTGCCCTGCCAGTTGTTCTGCTTCAATTGTTGCAACCACCCCCTTTGGGCTTTTGCCACCATCAGTGAGTCAGTGCAGAGATGAAGCACTGGTTACTTTCGTCCAGCAACATCTAAAACCAGCTGGATGGCCTTCACTTCTGCAAATTGGCTCAATTCACTTTCTGCTTAAGCAGTTTCTGCAACTTGTTGTGTAGGGCTCCATACAGCAACTTTCCACCTCTGATGTTTTTCCAGCTCCCTTCATACGCTGCCAATTTCTCTTTGGTTGGAATATAGCAAGGCTTCGGATCCTCTGTATTCCTGACTCCAGAACCCCAGGTGTTGATATCGAGTCAGATTCTGTCAGTCCCCAAGTACTCCTCAGCTTCAGTGTAGAGTGTGTTTTTTACATCTTGTCCTCCTCGGACTGGCTCAAGGGCTACTTCATGAGCACTCCTGTTTAAACTGTTAAAAGGTCTGCTGTTCAGGGCCCTATGTGAAATCGTTCTTCTTCCAGGTCGCTTGATAGAGAGGGTTTACAACCGGACTGCAGTTTGGAATATGCCTTCAAAAACAAAAAGACTAAGAAAGTTTGTTTCCTTTTTGCTCATTAGTGGGCACATAGCAGTTACTTTGTTTATCACATCCATAGGGATCTGATAATGTTCATCTTGCCATTTTTTTCCTAACAATGGGATCTCCTGTGCAGGTTCCTTGACCTTACTTTGCCTAATGGCAAGACTGGCTCTCAGAAGCACTTGGATTGTTTTCTTCCCTTTTCTTAAAAACTTCTGTGTTGCCCCACATGACGATTTCATCAATGTATTGCAGGTGCTCCCCCTTTTCCAATGCATTCTGGATCAGCCCATGACAGACGCTAGGGCTTTTTCTACCCCTGCGAGAGTCAATTCTGGTTGTACTGGACGCCCCTCCAAGCGAAAGCAAATTGTGGCCTGCACTCTGCCGCCAGAGGGACTGAGACAAATGCACTGGCTTATCATTTGTGGTGTACCACTTGGCTGCCTTTGATTCCAGTTTGTGTTGAAGCATGTCCAGCACAGCAGCACTCAGCGATGGCGTGACTTCATCCAGGCCATAATAGTCCACTGTCAGCCTCCACTCTCCGTTATACTTTCGCATTGGCCATATGGGACTGTTAAAGGGTGAGTGAGTCTTGCTGATCACTTGCTCCTCCATCTCCAAGGCAACTATGCCAAAAGCACACTGGTATCCTTTTGGGTCCTAGAAGTACCCTCTCCTGCAGTAATCTATACCAAGGGTGCACAGAGTCTCTGGGCCAGTCACAATGGGGTGCTTTTGCCACATATTCCCTGTTAGACTTATTCTGGCTTCCAGCACAGTGCTTGGGATACCCTTGTCACTCCAAAAAGACAGATATACATATAGTTCTGATGTGCTAGGCCACTGAATTGCACAGTCCAATAAAACCAGTGGTCCATTTCTTCCACTTGGCTGGAGGCAGGGCCCTTCAAGTCCTGGTTATTGTAACATCACTCACTTCTCATGAATGCAAATTAAAATGCTAATTATCGATGTCAGAAGCACAATCAGACCATTTTCTTTGTCTCAAAGACTGCCCACTGGAAAATGCAGCAGCCATATTCCTGGAAGAATCTTCTTTTCTTTTCCAATTGTTGTTTCTTGCAGTTCTTCTACCTGTGCCTTTAGAGTGGAAGTGGATTTTCTACCTCACTTCCTCATGCCCTCTCCATGGTCACATGGGTAAAACCACAGGATAGCTCATGGTGTGTACCCACTACGTTCCCCCCCTCAAGCAGAGGAACACTTACTTCTAGTAGTTGAGACACTGGTCCATACAGATGGGGAATAGGACATAATGTCTTTGAATTGCTGGAACTCCAAAGACAGTTTCTCCACATCTGAGTCACAGGCCCATGGGGAAGAAGAGAAATTTTATTTATGTTGTTGAAGTAGGCTGGCCACTCCATCCACTGTTGGATTTTAATTATCTTTTCAGACCATTGCTGCCAGTGTGCTGGCATATGATGATGGTGTACTCCATACAATATTCTACCACATAGATCACGGGCACTTGATATCATCTAGATCTTGGAATAACTTCTCATTGTCCAGGTTAATATTATACGTCACCTCCAGCACAGCTGATTCCCTCAGGTGCTGCATACCTTTCTCGATGGTGCTCCACACGCCTAGGAAACACACCAGATCTTCCATGAAGGGATATTTTTCCTTCACAGCTGACACATATCGCCTCCATAGGGTGATGGCTTGTGTCTCTTTTCAAATTGCTTCGTCAATGCTCCTTTCCCTAGACAGCAATTCCAGCTGCCTGGCTTCACTACCCATTAACTCCAGTCTACTGGCCCCATTGTCCCAGCACTGGAGCAATCAGGTGACAACATGCTCAGCTGGATGACAGCTGAAATCTTGCAGCTTACTCCAAGTTAGGGGTTGAAGGGTTATGAGTTCAGAATCTTCCTCCTGTGCTCTTGATGGCCCTGTTTCATCTTTTCCTTCCACCCTCATTTTAGTAGGAGTTTTTGTCCTTAATAAGCACGCCTCAGGCCAGATTTGTGGGGGATATTCATAAATAGTCACTTAACCTTAAATAAAACCTGATACACATTCAGTAGGCAGAGCAATAGTAACAGGCTGGTTTGAACATTCCTGCTTATCTCCCCCATAGTCTGGTTCCCTAAGGAGACAAAGTAAAGAGTGAAATTATTAATAATTTCCAAGATATGGTACCCATAGTATGAAGATGACTGCAACATCAAATACAAATACCAGACTAGTTTCCCAAACAGTGTTACACTGTACAGAAAAATGATAACCTTAATCCAGCCCCTGGAAATGGTAAACTGCACTACAGGAATCATACAGCAAGTAATACAGTTCCATGAAAAAACTCTGAAAGATCTCCAAAAACAGAAAAGAAGAGCATAGTGACCAATGGCCATCAAATTACCATAACACTCTTGACAA